TAACGTATAACTTGACCTTGTAGGAGATCAAGAAGGGAATGTACACAAAAGTGATTCTGTCATGCTACCACATAATCACAGATTTCTTTCTTTTTAAAAATGACTAATGCTTTCCCCCCTCATTTTAAAAATAATGAAAGTTGGTTTTTTTTAATGAAAGTAGTAAATGTACTGTCTTGATAACCAACCAAACTATTTCTAAAATTCAATCACAATTATTTTCTATTGCAGGATTCAGGGTTAAGATTTCACTATGTTGCTGCTGGAGAAAGAGGCAAGCCACTTATGTTGCTGCTTCATGGATTTCCAGAATTCTGGTAACACTCATTAACTAAGTTCTCTTATATTAAACACTTATGTTTTCAACATTTTTAAACTCATGAGTTACATAGAAATGTTTAGGTTCTGAATGTTTTGAGATTTTCCGAATAATAATTTATAGTTTGATTCAATTATGTTTGGAAAACACACGCTGTATAATTTTAATTCTTCTAAGTATGCTAAGGTTTGTTTTAAGGTCCAGTGTCAGGACTCTCTGGAGAAACATAAGAAATGAGGCTTTCTATCTGTCCACTTTCCCTATGTGAATGTAGGACTGGAAAGTCCAAAATCCATAGGTCAGAGAGTAGGCGAGTAGACTAGTAGACTCACAGGGCTGGTAAATCCAAAATCTACACAGCAGGCAGGAGGCTGCAGGCTTCATAGGTCAGGCATGGATCCTGGGAAACAGGCATCCCAAGTCTCTCTAGTCATGATTATTGATAGACCATATCTTCTAATCATTTGCACAGAGTAATTCCTGAGCCACAGGAACATTCCTCCTAAAAACACCAAATGCTATCATGCTAATTTATATTCTTTTGGAATTTAAGAAGTTTCTTTCATGTTTGAAATTTCTGAAACAGTCGATTACTAAACAGTGTTCCTTAAGTTCCTTTTGAGGACAAAATAGAATTTTGGGTAGAGGAGGCTCAAACACAGGAGTGGTGTGCCTGCTCTCAGGAAACTTTCTGCAGGAATAGGAATGGTGAAAAGGCAAGGGGTTAAGAGGATGCATTCAGATTGAAAGATGAACTGTTTTTACACGCACACGAAACAGGCTTATATGAGTTCAGAACAAAAAAAGAACCTAAATATATTTCATATTAAGAAAACACATAGTCAAAAATAGAGTTGCTGGAGGAAAACGTTTTCTCTTTTGAATCCTATCCAAGGTCAAATAAGTTCAGGTAAAACTAATCCCTCCTGATGAGGGATCCAAAGCAAGCAAGTTAGACAAGTGTTTTGTTTGGATTCACAAGGTTTTTCACTGGTGAAGGATTGGCCATCCACTTCTGAAATAGCAGGCCTCTGAAAACCCTATGTACAACAGAACAATTTAGATAACAGAAATGGCAAAGGAGGTTGAGTTTTCAAGTATGGAAATACAAAGGAAGAGGAACAGTTGTAAGCAGACACTGGTGATTGGGACATGGAATGTGAGAACCATGAATGTAGGAAAATTAG